CCCACCCAGTTTGCTGGCTGGGGAATTCTGGGAGTTGAAGTCCACACCTCTTAAAGTTGCCAAGGCTGAGAAACACTGACCTACACCATGATGACAGTATCCGTTACTATGGCTTGAAGTGTAACACGAACTAATATTTAAATGTAACGTCGAATAACTAATTTGCATTGTGAGCATTGATCATATCTAGGTCATACCACTAGTTTTTTTCAGATGAACAGCAGGATCAAATGGATTAAATTAAACCATAAACCTTCCCTGTAAATATGATACTTGCACAGCAGTGGAGAAGGAACTGAGTCCTTTGCTGGAGAGGTTGATCATCTAATTGAAAGGAACTTTTGGAGACAAGGTGGAGAGGCTGAGAGGTCATGGTCAGAGGTGCTTAGTGGTTCCTGCACTGAGCCAGGAGTGGACTTGATGACCTCTAAGTCCCCTCTCAACTCTAGGATTCTATGATGGGCTTCTCTTCCCTTCCCTGTTGGCAGCTTTAGGACTTCTGGATGGACCACTTCCTTTCACTTTCTTATAGAACCACACTGGAAGGGAGGGAGGGAGGGAGGGAGGACGTCTTATATATAACTTATTTTTTTGTTAAAGAAAAATAAAAACTAACATAAACTAATATTTGGAATAAAGAAAGGAAAGAAAAAATAAAGAAAAGACAAAGCCAAAAGTGCAAAAAAGAAAGAAATTATAAAGAAGTAGCTTCCGATTTTCTTTACAGCAGCTATAAGTATAAATGTAAATTAACCTCTTACTCTATGGTTACAGCATGACTTTCATTTTTTTCTGTAATGTATTTTTTTCTAATCATCAAAACCATAAGTTCATTTTTTCTGTTTCACGCAAAAAGTCTATAGATAATGTCTTTTCTCTGATCAAAAATGTCAATTGGGCCATCTCAGCAAGTTCATCATCTTCACCATCCATTCCTTCATTGTGGGTAATGTCAAATCTTTCCACCTGTGTGCATATAATAATCTCGCTGCAGTAGAATCTATTTTTTTCAGGTGAAGAATCTTCGTAAACGAAACATCCCTTTCATGGTGACATTTCAGATCCCAGTAGAACTGAAAGGGATCCCTGTTTGGAACATGTTTCAAGTCATTCCTTCTGAGGTATACTATCTATCTTGGGCTATCGTGTTGTGGCCTTCTGGTAATTCCACTGAAGAACCCCCTGGGTGGGAAAATATGTGCTGGAGATATTCACCCTGGGTGGATCAGCCACCTGCAATGCACTTCAATGAAGCATTTTACCTTGTGATGTGATTTGGCCCACCTCACCAGGGTGTCCAGGCTGGGCCAATCTGACTAATTCACCTGCTTTGATTTGATAACAGGGGCTTATATGTGTGTGTGCAGTGCATTTGCACAAGCCCCTGTTCTAGATCAGCTTGAATCAGTACAACTGCTCCACCCCAACAATGAGAATTGGATTCCTGCTTTGTTTCAAAGGGGTGCTTTGGTTGTACCTCTGCTGAAGAAAAGAACCCCTTTGAGGATCTGTAGAGCCCAACTGAAGATCCTTTTTCCAACTTCTGGAACTCACTTGGAACTACAACTTGGAGAAGCAAAACTTCTTACGGTCCCTCCCCTTCCTTCAGGAGAAGCAAAAGTCGTTACCATTTGTCTTCTGCTCCGTCCATCACCTTCTGCTACTAATGATTGGACCTCCCTTTTTCTCAGCCTGAAGTGGCCAAGTGTGACTTGGAGAGAGAAACTCCAGGCTCCAAGGATCTTCTGGCAGAGGAGGCAAATCCCCAGCTGGTGAGCATGCTGGCCCTTCTCTTTAGGGCCAACTGCATTCTGTAGCTCTTTCTGAGAGAATAGATAGATAGATAGATAGATAGATAGATAGATAGATAGATAGATAGATAGAT